TTTGTTTTGTTTGGTAACGTCAGAACTCGTTCCACCGTAATTTTAATTTGTAATTTTTAAACGGTTTTTAAGTGACGAAATACACAATGGCTGATGATTGCCGAAAGGCATGAAACTCAGAGTTCCATCAAAAGTTGTTTTTATTCATTTAATATAAATATATATATATATATATATATATATATATATATATATATATATATATATATATATATATATATATATATATATATATATATATATATATATATATATATATACATATATATATATATATATATATATATATATATATATATATATATATATATATATATATATATATATATATATAATATATATATATATATATATATATATATATATATATATATATATATATATATATATATATATATATATATATATATATATATATATATATATATATATATATATATATATATATATATATATATATAGGGGAGAGTTGCCGAAATTGGAACAGCGCCTTAATTGGAAAACTTGCATTTATTTTTGAAAAAAAATGAACTATGGCTTTATTTTGCATTTTTTTAGTAAAACGCATTATTTTCTACGTTTTGACACATTTTGAAAGTTATTCCTCAATAAATGCGTTTGCACCATTGATTTAAAGTTTTTTTGCGTCATTTTATTGAGCGATCTAATTTTGAGTTCACACTATATTGATTGCGCTGGGTATACTATGGTGCTACAGGTTATACAGTTTTTTGTTTTTAATTCAATGGGGTTTAAAATGCAAAATAACAATATAAACTTATCTTATAAGTTGCTGCAAGCATGTTATTGTAGTGATATAACAAAATACTCGAAAGTTTTTTCAATTGAAACATTGAAGTTTTCCTAACCTAATCAGTAATAAAATCAAAGGGTTGTAAAAGTAGTTCGAGTGAAATTAAAAAAATACTTAGTAACAATCATAAACTATAAAAATAATACTTTATTTAGTGATTTTTAATCAATAAATTTAAAGAACGTCATAACAGTTGAAGATTTATAAAATTTTTTGCTTACAGACTTTAAATTTATCAGGGTAATACTAATCCTATAATAAATTTTGAAATAACTGTTTAAATTTTCACTGTAAAAATGAAAATATTTTTTTACAAATGTTTGTTGATTTTACTCGATTTTTTCTTTTAAAATAATAACCTGTTCTGATGAAGGAATCAAAGTGTTCCAATTTAGGGAACTAGTTGTCTTGATTGGAACAAAATGGTAACTTTGCAAAAACAAATTTATTTCCAATAACAGTGCAATCAATTAATTCAAATTGTAGTTAAAAGTTTAGTAGGGATGTCTGTTTGTATTAATCAAATCATAAATGTTTTCATAGCTAAGCCATCTTTGGGTTTTTTTTTTTCAAAAAGATCTTTTTTTTTTAAGAAAATCCTAGATATAGAAGACTATTTTTAAAAATTAGCGAATGTGACCCCCCACCTCGAAACCCGTGTCGTCGGCCCTCAAGTTTTACATGATTTAGTTTTCATTGCTTTCATGTTTACATGAAGTTTTATATGATTTAGATGTTTAATATTAGTCATCATTACGCATTGTAGATTCATGATTTGTAACACTTTGAAATGTGCTTAGCATCCTCAATTTTCTTTGACAATTTCCACCTTCATGAAAGTGGGGCTTCTCAAACAATTTTTGATAAGCCCGACAAAAAAGATTTGTTTCAACGATTAGGTTAGATTAAGATTAAAGTTTGATTTAACATAGAAATATGCATATTTCCTTTAAATGTTAAACAAACTCTAAATATTACATTTGCTTTTTAATATATTGCCACTGTTGTCAATCTAGTGTTTTTTTTATAAAAATAAAGGTCAAAATATTTTTTTCAATAAAGTAGTCAAACACCCAAAAGTCCTTTTGACAGCAAAGGGTTTGAGAAGAAAGTTAATATCACGCATGTCCTTTCACTAGATATTCAAAGATACTAGATATTCAAAGCGAGATTAAAGCTGATTAATTAAGTTTCTACAAAGAAAAACAAAATAATAAAGTTACGACACCATTTAAATTAGAATAACATTTAAAACTATAAAATTACAATAAGGAACGGTACAATGACTACAGACATTAATGCCAGAACCACGAATTGATATTAAAAAAACTCGGAAATTTTTACACAAAAAAATACCAATCGCTGTACAGCATAATTTATCCTTATTAAATAAGGAGTATGATGAGCTAACCAATTTTTCAGAAAACGAAAAAACAACTACAACGCCAACACTACTTAGAAGTTCTAACCGAGAACCATTTCTGAGGATATATCTAAACAAAGAATGACGCCCTATAGAATTGTGGAGAAAATATTTAAATACACTGGAACACAATTATTAATACTTTTTGTTTACAGAAAAATGCTACGATGTAAAAATGTGCATTGAAATAAAGATCTCCTAAAAGCTATATATTATATTATTGAAACATTGTGAAGTCATTACATTAAATTAAGCAAAAATAAAGTTTGTAGTTAACCATTTAAGTAAAGATTAAAAACAACGCAAATTTATTAAGAGCATCTCGTGATACATCAATAACATAGATATATTTTGAAGTTGATACAACTGCTCTATTTGATTCTTCATATAAAATATCTTGTACTGTTAATTTTCTAAAATATTACAAATATTTCAAAAAAAAATTTATGGTGTTGTCTGTTTTTTTATGTTACTATTAGATTTCAGAGCAGTTGAAATTTCTTCACAAAAGGCTTGTAGGCAAGTTTTGTGAAGAAATTTTTGCTTCTCAGTAAGTTTGCTACACAGAAACTTACTGGCGGATCAAGGATTTTGAGAGTCTGGTAAAGAGTATGGTTTACTTACTGCTTTACCAAAGATTGATCCAACATGGTACTCAAGAGATGACTTGATGTAGACTTTATTAATTAAAAGCATACACTTTTTGCATCTTATTTTCAAGCTTTAAATAAATTTAAATTTAAAAACGTTGTATGATTTATTGCAGAACCCAGTTTGAAAGTTAGTTTTGTTAGGAGAGAAATACTGAAAGATCATAATCTTCTTTAAAATAATCTTGAAATACAAAATTATTAAACTGTTTGTATATCAGTTTCTATGCTGCATTTATTCTTCTCATTTGTGATAGACTATGTATTTTGCAAAAAAAAAATCAACGTCTACTGAGTTTTTATAAAAATAGTTAGCTTTTTGTAAATTATAAAAATCCTATTACCACACAGAGATTAAATTTTATGCTTAATTCCTCAAAAGTAAAAAAGCCTTTAAAAGAAAGTTCAATCTTAATCCTTATCTTTTAAAATCCTTTCTTCAAAGTCTGTTGACTAATAGGTTACAACTTTTTACTAGCAAAATACAAAGTTAAATAAATGGCAGCAAAATAAAATTCTTTATTTTTGTAACTTTTGATGTAATGACCTACTCATGCAATCTTATCATCAGGTAAAAAATATTATTGGGAATAATATTCTGGACAGATAAAGTTGCTCTTAAGGTTGCTTTTTATGGCGGTGGAAGAATATGTATCTAACTAGATTTGATGCATGTTAAAACTGACGGAAAATCATTAGGTCTTTTGCAGCCAAATGTAGTTGCGAATGGATTTTCAAATATAAAGTAACTTTCGTAAACAACTCTTTCTGGACTGTCAGATATATTGTCTCGTGAAACAGCATACACCCAACAATTATATTTTTCTTTTTAAATAGGAAGTCGTTTCTGTACTTTGCTTATTGTAATTACTATTTCATTTCGTCAAAACATTTTTATTTGTGTCTATACACATATACTTTATTTGAAAAAATAACTAAGACGTCGCTAAATAAGCATTTATTTAACACCAAACAACCATTAAATATTGTAACCTCTTAGCCCTAGGACCTAATTCACGCGTTTAGAAGGCCTAAAAATATCCAAGTACCACACTATGTAACGAAAACGTCAAAACACAAACGTTGAAATCAATATGACAATATTTACCCAACGTATTATGCTCCCTGGGTACAGGCGACCATGTAATAAAAAAATCTTAAGGTTTTTTTTATTATTAATTTTTTAAATTATGTTAGCAAACATCAAACTCATACTTTGTTCTAATCTAATTTAATAATGTATATTACGTTTTGCTCTAATCTACTTTAATAATGCATTGAGTCCGCTGTTGTATTGCCGGCGTAATAGCCCGTCTTATATTAGGTTCGCAATTTGAATGGACGTTAAAAATTATTTAATCTAAATTTTGTAGGTTCCGCACATGGAATAACTATGTTGTCTAATAGAGTATCTAAGAAAACAATCTATTCGTATATTTTACTTTTCTGTTGCTATCAGCAAACGAAATATACTTAAGATTATACGAGTTTTAATTTAGTCTCCATAAATTTTTAATACATATGTAATTAGCTTAGTATGTAATGCTGATTTTATCAGTTTCTATGCAAAGGTATCTTACTTAAAGTAAAAACTAACAATATAGCTTATTTTTAAAAGAAACGCTCTTTTACGATTATGAAGAAGTTGTTAACGTCCAATTTAAACTTTATTATAAACGTCTTTTATACAATCCGAGTACATAAACTATTTTTAGATCTTTTTCCCAAGCCTTGTACGTATGCTACATAAAATTTAAAATTATTAAAATTCTAGATTGCTATATATCATTAGAAACAGCTTTAATTCAATATTATAAAAGTGAAAAATTATTAAAATCGAACAATTTAACAAAAAATTATGACGTTTTTAGTAACTATTTTTCGATATATGGAATTGTTGAAGAAACTGTGGTAAAATAAAGTTTTTGTTAATTAAAACTAATATAACTTTATCAATTCTTATCTAGATACTTACATCTTGGTGTCTACAGATAGATGTAAGAATAGCCTTTAAATTTATATTGACTTTTAGCCGCTGGGCATGCCCAGAGGGAAGGGGGTTGGCTAAAAGGGGCTTCCAACTACCATCTTTACAGTTAAATAATGATTTTTTATTCATAAAAAAGTATTTTTTTAAATACTAATTGTTAATATTCATATGCCATAAGTTGTTTTTTCCTTCCTGCCTCCAAAAATGTAAATATCCTAAAGGATAAATTATGATTTGCAAATTTTACCATATTACAAAATGCACAAGATCTCCATTTTTTCAAAGGTAGGGAGGAATGACGCCCTCCAAACTAAAAAAAAATGTCATGTTTTACAATTATTTATCATAAAATAATTAAAATTTTTACAAATATTTATAACATAACATTTTACAAAATTTTTTATTTTGTCTTGGTTTTTAGTTAATGATAAAGATATTGAATTCCAATAATGAAACTAAATAATATTCATTGTTAACAATAGACACGAAGTGAAAGTAAGCCAGAGCCGTTTATCAAAAAAGTTTCAAGGTACATTTTTTTTGCAAGTTCCACTACTTGCTGTACCTTTTTGCAAGCTTCTATCACGTGCTTAATACAAGTTAAGTGATTTTCCTTTTCCAAATCTAACAAAATGAACTATTACAAATAAATTTATAGCTTGATTATTTTTAAAGCCTGTATACACTAAAAAACTATATTTCTACTATTATTATTTTTTTCATACGAAAAGTTTTTTTCTTAGTTTTGATATTGAAAAATTAATAAATGTGGGGTCCTAATAAGCTCTGTATAGATGAGAAATTATTCTAAAATTAACAAAAGTAGGAAGGCTTGTATTTAGCACCTAAGAGTACTTGCTGTACTTTTAGGTACATTATTTTTGCAAGTTCCATTACTTGCTTTACCTTTTTGCAAGTTCCACTACTTGCGGCACAATATTTTTGCAAGTTCCACTACTTGCGGCACAAAATTTTTGCAAGTTCCACCACTTGCTATACCTCTTTGTAAGTTCCACTACTTGTGGTACATTTTAATTATAAAAATAATATGACTCAAATGAACCACATTTTGTTAAGTTTACATGCCTACTTTAGTTAAGTTAGATGTCTACTTTACTATTGCATAAGTATTATCATTTATGGCAACATATTCAAATTATGAAAACATTAATTTGCCTGATATGACATCAGCAATCAGCTGAAATTTGTTCATGCAATGGTCAAAAGCATCAGAGTCAGTTTAATCTTTATTCCAGTATGAAATAGTGTAAATAATGTTGCTCTGTGTTTTTTTAAGCTTTTCTACTTTGCCATCATATAAGGCTGTCTTTGTTGAATTGGTTTCATTCTATTCATGGCAGAGGTTTCTCCAAACAATTTTTTCCGATATAACATCATTCAAATTATCTATTGGCTTCGTAGACAAGTTTTTAAATAAATTTAGAATTTCACTGATAGTTAGTAAAAATAATTGTCGCTCAAGTTGTCCTTTTTCTGTTTCATCCATTTTTTGGCGTTTGTCAGTCTGTCTTTTAGAAATCTCAGCTCGAAGTTCGAGTCGAGTTTTTATTTGTTTTCTTTGGGCTGCTTGAAAAGCCCACTAAACAACCTTTTCTCTAAAAAGGCATCAAGATCGTCCAGATAATCCACATTCCAATCCTTTTTTGGTCTTAATTTGCAAGATATAAAGTCAATTGCATTAGGGGATCTTCTTTTTGCAGCACTGAACATTCCCATTAACTCCTCACTGTCTATTTTATGAAGCTTTGGACTTGCCGTCTCTTCTTGCAGTATTTTTGTAATTAAAACGGAAAAGTAGCGTTTATACAGTTTATTCAAAACCTCATTTATTGCAATGAGACAAGCCTTAGTCATGGCAATAAGTTGTTCATCAATTGAACACATTGTTGTTATTCGTTCTAAAATATTTGATACAAAAATATTGCCATAAAAGTTAACTTTTTTTTACAAAAAATTGCAGTTGGATTACTTTTGCAACCTTCAATTGTTTGCACAACTTTTAATTATTGCAATACCACCAACATGATCAAAAGACTTTATTGCAGAACGACAAGAAATAGCAATTATATCAAGAGAGTGCGAATGGCAGTTTAACTCATTAAGGTTTTTAGCCAAGATTTTACTAATTTTTTTAATTTTAAGATGGTTAACCGATCTTGATCGGTTAACCATCTTAATCTGACATTGTATTTTATATATTTGAGATAATCAAACGACGAAATGCTTCAAAGGGCTTTAAGTAAAAATTTGAATAAACTAAAGCAGTATAATCAACTTTGTTACATGTGTGGTTTGTATAATCAACAGCTGCCCCACCTAGTAATTGGTCATTAGCAGTAAACTGGTATTTAGTTTAATTGTATTATTTATATTGCCATCCTCCATATGGGTCATATAATTTTCTATGCTAATAATAACATTTTTATTTGTTCTAATAGCAACATTATTTTTGAGAGCTATGCTTCTATACTTTTCCCTCTCTTTAATTTTTAATGCCTTTCTTGTTGCAAATTTTCCTGCTGTAATTGTATGTTTGTAATTTAGTTTTCAAGTTTCTAACCTCTGCTCGTAAAACTTTTATAATAACTTCTTTTCGTTTAACACTTTGAATTTGATTTCAAAAAACGTTACAGTTTGAAATCTTTATTTACTTGGATAATCGTTTTGATATACAACTCTCCATTGTAACTTAGATAATCGTTTTAATATACAACTCTCCAATAAAAATAGGAGGTATATGACCATTGCTACACTCAATGCTTGTTCCCAATGGCAATGTAAAGTTATCAGCTAAATATTTCTCGAATAATCCAAAAAATAAATTTTAAAGAGATTTATTCTTGGGCATATTATGCTTTGAAAGAGTAAAAACATTTATAAAATAGCTATTAAGTTGCTGAGATCAGTAATGACCTTTGCAATCTACAAAAAATAAACCACACAAAAAATTAAAATAAAGAAATGAGTTATTATTTCATAAATCCCAAGTTGTGTGTTTTATAATAAATGAATAAAAGTTCACTGAGAAATTATTAAATATCAAAATAAAATATTGCTGTATGAAATCATATACAAATAGCATAAAATATGTTTGTAAAATATGTATATATGTTTACTATTATTAACAATTGTTTATATTATTTATAATAATTTTTTTCCCTATCCACCTTTTTTTCCTCTACCTCCTCCCCCATGACCACCTCTTCGCCCATGACTACCACCTCCACAGCCGCTTCTTCTTCCTTCTTCTTAGTTTTGCCAACCACTCTTGCTTGGAAGCTAGCAGCCAATCTAAAAGATGGTCTGTCTTCCCCTTCGTGCTGGACCCAATTTTTATATGACATGTTGGTATAGGGTCCCGGGTGGTTGGAATGATATTTTTTAAAAGCTTTGTATGTTAGCCATTAAAAAAAAATTAAACAAATTTCTGAAACAAGTAATAAGAGTTACATGAAAAAATATTATAACAACAAAAAAAAACATTTTTTACAAAAATATTTCAAATTGCTTTATTTTAGAACGGACATTTTTATAAAAATCTATAATATATACCATTACCATTACTTCCAGATGCAAAATTTCCAAAACAAAATGCAGATGTACTAGATGCCACTAAATTTAGTAAAACGACTAAAAACTCTATGTATAAAACATAAAAAATTCACAAACTTAAATCCTAGTAAAAAATTATTTTAAAGAATCTAATCAATGAGGTAAGATGCAGATATCTAAAAATTACAACATCAAAAAAGAAAGTAAATATTAAGACACCTTCAGATAAGTTTGGAATTTAAAACAAAAAATACATAAATACATACCTATTCGGAGATTTAGATACCACTAAAGAATAAAAAATAAAAAAGATAATGAAAATAAAGTAAAAAGTGACATTTAAATTAGAAAACATTTAAGAAAGTAAAAAAATAAACATCTATTAAGTAATAAAAACAAAATGAAATATATATATATATATATATATATATATATATATATATATATATATATATATATATATATATATATATATATATATATATATATATATATATATATATATATATATATAAACAACAACAACAACAAAAACTGGTTTCATATTTACTGTAGTTTATTTTAATTTTAACAAATTGCTAGCTTTTATCTGTCTTACTCACATACTCGCGCATTTCTTTCATAAACTTCTCTAAAGAAATAAAAGTAAAAAAAAAATTAGAGCAGAGAAGTATAAAGCGCCAAAGTAATATTTTTTCTCATTTAAAGATTACAAGTTTTGTTAAACAAAACAAGATTATTTTAACAAATTAACAAAACTACTTTAAGCTAGTTTTCTCACTGTAATTAACAAAACTACTTTAGGTTACTTTTCTCACTGTAATTAACAAAACTACTTTAAGTTAGGTATTTTCTAGTTTGTCTAAAAGAGAAAAGTTTTGAAGTTTTATTACAAAATAAAATAAGCAAAATAATAATGCCTAAAAATAATAACTGACCCATTCTATATCCATCTGTATCTAAACAATATTAAAAATAAAATTAATTTTTCAAAAAAATTATACTTAACTGCAATAGATTAAGTATATTAATAATGCATAAAACTATTGAAAAAAAACAAGAACTTCTTATGTAATATTATCAATATCTTATGTAGTATTAATACTTGTAATATTATATATTAATCTAAACAATTATAAGATCAAGACAAATTTTTATTACTTTATTCCAATCAAAAGTTTATAATCCTTACTGTCAGCAACTAATTTGTCAATGGCATTATTCATTTTTATCTAAATCATAAATTGGTTTTATTATTATATAGTTTATGTGAAATAAACTATGCTTTTCTTGAATAAATATGCTTTTTTTGATAATTACTTAACATTATTACTAATAATATTTTATACAAATAATATTTTGACTAATAAGATTAGTTAAAAGAAAACTTATTTACACCGCCCCCCCCCTTTCTTTTATTTCCCATCACGATTTCAGAAAATGGAAATTGGGTACCAAAAGTATGCACAAAAATAGGGATAGTGCACATCATTATTTTTCAATAATTTTTGGCAAATGCATACGAAATGTATAAACTTAAATAAACTTAAATTATAGAAAATAATTTTACATTTCTGCTATGTTTGGGCAATACACGAAATGCAAAATATTTTCAGCGTCAATAAATCCACTTATAAAGTTTATTATATTACCAAATATAGGCATATTAGTTAAGACTAATCGTTCTATTTTTTAAAAAATATCTATGTTAATATGAAATTTTAAAAAGTAAATTGACAAAGGTTGGTACAACCTCTCTATCCAAAACCAAACTTCAAAAAGCGTTGAACAAAATTTTTGTAGATTAATCGGTTCCCTAAAACGCGAAGTCCACAATTTCGTCTATGTCATTTTGTAACGCTACAGCGTCTGCTTTATTACGGTTATTCTTTGTTACGGTTTTTCTAAATTAAGCACTCTTTTATTTTTAATTTTTCGTTCTTTATTTAAATATTACTGTATTACAAACTGTTATATATTTTATTTTTATATTTTTCAATAAATAAGTTGTATAGTATGCTATTAGAGTTGGAAGTTACTGAAAGAGAAAAGATAAAACTTGTGGAGCAAGATGACGATTAACAGGCGACTTAAAAGATTGTTAATATATATAAATACAATACATATAAGATATATAGATACAGTTAAGATATATAGATACAGATAGGATATACAGATATAGTTAAGATATATAGATACAGATTAGATATATAAATACAGTTAAGATATATAGATGCAGATATGGTATATAGGTACAGTTAAGATATATAGGTTTTTTTTTTTTTTTTATTTGCATTCACTCCCAACAAGGCTGCAAGCAACCACTATTAAGTTGGGAGTTACTAGAAAAAAAAAGAACAGAGTTATAGAGCAAGGAAACGGTTGACAGAAGACTTGAAAAGTTGAAGGTTGTATGAGTCAGGAAAACATGAAGATGGGAGAGAGTTCCAAAGGATTGAAGTGCGGGGGAAAAAACTAGATGAATAAAATTTTTTAGAGCATGCAGGGAAAGATACAGTAAACGAATGAGACTTAGCTAAATGACGAGTAAAACGAGAATGAATTTTAGTTGATAAAACTAGAGATGATAACTCCTTTGAGCAGTGACCATGATAGTATTTGTAGAAAAGAGAAAGAGATGCAACTTTACGACGATGGGAAAGAGGTTCAAGCTTAGCAGATAGTCCAGGTCCAACAACATTTACAATGCGTTTTTGGACCTTGTCAAGAAGAGAAAGTGAATCGTTAGAAGAACCAGCCCAAATATGACAACAGTATTCCATACAGGGACGAATAAGAGATTTGTAGAGGTAGAGAATGGAATCAGAAGTAAGGAAATGACAAGCACGATAAAGAGAAGCAATCTTAGCAGAAGCTAATTTAGCAATCGATTGTATATATGGTTTCCATGAAAGGTCAGTAGTAAGCGATAATCCAAGAAGACGTAAAGAGGAGGAATCAGTATGAGGATTGCCATTCATTAATATAGGAATGTTGACCATACTACGGTAGTTGTTTGCAGTAAGCAACTGGGTTTTTTTAGAGTTGAAATTCACAAGCCACTGTGAACCCCAATCTATTACTGAAGTGAGATCGGATTCAAGATCAGCTGCTTGTTCTAGGCGATCGAAAAGAGAGGACTTTTTGTCAAGACAGGAGTATAAAGTTGAGTCATCAGCAAAAAGAGCTACTTTAGATGAAAGGTTGTCAGGAAGATCGTTTATGTAGATAAGAAACAAAACAGGGCCCAGGATGGAACCTTGGGGAACCCCAGAAGTTAATGGAAATAAAGAAGAGTGTTGGCCTTCAAGGATGACTTTAATAAACCGGTTAGAAAGAAATGATTTCATAATCTCAAAAACTTTCCCAGAAACACCATATGAAGCAAGCCTATGGATAAGACCAGCATGCAAAACTTTGTCGAAAGCTTTAGATATGTCGAGAGCAATAGCCCTAGCCTCACCGCCGCCATCTAATGCACAATATAATATTTCAGTTACAGCAGTTAGCAAGTCAGCCGTAGAGCGAGAGGATCGAAAACTGTATTGATTGTCTGACAGCAGTTTATTTGGAGGGGTCAGAATTTTCTCCAGAGTTTTTGAATATTGGAACCACAAATGCCATTTTCCAACAAGCAGGAAAACAAGACTCAGTCAAACACATGTTAAATAGTTTAGAGAGAATTGAAGAAAGTTCTGGAGAACAATTCTGCAAGACTTTGATAAGAATGTTGTCTGGACCACAAGCTGTAGACGAGTTTAATTGAGACTTTAGCAACAAAAGCCGGAGTGATTTGAATGTCTAACAATGGGTCAACCTGTTTGACTGGAATGGAAGGAAGAGAATGTCCATAAGATTCAAGAGTGGAATTAGAAGAAAAGTTCTTTGCAAATAGTTTTGCCTTATCCTTGGGAGAGGTAATAAGATCAGTCCCATTAATGAGAGATGGAATGTTAGATCTACCCTTGTTAACAATGCTGTTGAAGATTTTCCAAAAGTCTTTAGAGCCTAACTTCTGCGATAAGATGCGAGATTTAGTGAACTGAGAATAATGCAGTTTAGCATCAGAAAGCACCTTTTTACATCGGTTTCTTGCAATAATAAATAGCCGTTTGTTCTCAAAAGAGTTGTTGTTTGAAAAAGATGAAAAAAATGATCACGATTGGATATAGCAGCCGCACAAGTAGGAGAAAACCATGGAGTAGAATGAGGCTTGACTTGAAACCGACGCGAAGGAATAAAAGCTTCCATTCCAGCCTGAATCCAGGAGGTTACGTAGAAGGCGCATTTGTCAGCTGAGAGAGAAAAAACATCAGCCTAAAGACCATCACGAAGAAAATCACGAAAGGAATCCCAGTCAGCTTTAGGGTAGTAGTAGGTGGTGCGATGATAAGGTGAGCCCAAAAAAGAAGTACGAGAAGAAAGATTTATAGAGATCATTGCATGGTCAGAACCACCTAAGGGAGAAAAGGGAGAAACTGAACATAAGCTAGGGTCAGAGACAAGACATAAGTCAAGGAGTGAAGGTAAATGATTAGGGTTGTCAGGAAAACGAGTCACAAAGTTAACTATCTGAGTAAGAGATTGAGAAACGCAGAAGTTAAAGGCTTTAGTGCCAGCTGGATCAGTGGTGTTAGAGCCAAGCCATTCAGTGTGGTGGGCATTAAAATCACCAACAACAACAATATTGGCAGAGGGCATGGTTAATTTGATCAGAGATAACATCTAAAAGAGTGCAATTATGGGAAGAAGGAGAACGATAAAGAACAAAGAGAAAGGTGATAGATTGAAGAGGTGCTAGGCGAAAGCACATAAAAGAATGGTCAAAGGATTCGAACCTGATTTCACGACAAATAGGGGAATTAATGCGTATGTATACCCCTAAACCTAGCATGTGACTATTTGAGTCTTTACGAATCAAAGGATAGTACCCATCAACACTGACATCTGAAGAAGGAATTGCAGAATTTAAATTTGTTTCACTGAGTGCAAGCAAGTCTGTTGAATTTTGCAGGAGGTAAGACTCAACTGATGGAAAGTTGCTTCGTAGACCGCGAATATTTGTAAAAGATATATTAAAATATTTAGGTGGTGGGGATGGTTTTTTAGGTTTTAAATTTTTGGTTACTTTGGTCATGATTTGGGTTTAATGAGAACTTGACTCATTCATAGATAGAGCACAGCCTCCTAATCAATGAGCTATGCAGTTGTCTCAGTCCTGTTAATTAACCCTAAGCCGTGACATAGGGCTCCTTATGTGGCCTTGACAATGCACACCAAAAGCATTAACAGGGACACCATCCATGCGCAACATGGCACTGTTAATACTCTGATATTTTGCAGCTGTTGATGGAATCAGCCTCTCTGAGAGCTACCACAGAGTTCGGGAAACCTTACTACCAGCCGGCCTTAGAACCATCAAACTGAGTTTTAGAGCTGTACCCTCATACGGAGATAACAGGAAGAGTTGCATAGCCATTATCAAGGAGGCATAAGCAAAATTATATGAATAGAGTCAAGGAGATCCAGCATTCATCATCCTAGGCAGGAAACAATGTAACACAGGTTACATCTTTTACAATTTTTAGTCGGAGTTTATTTCTCCTAGCCTTTGCATAAGAAGAGCACACTCTGCAAGGCAGCAGGGCTTGTGGCAGGTGGTACTGAGTTACGTGATACCAGTAGCAAGATTGATCTCGATTATCCCGACCTGACCTGGAGTAGTTAAAAGGAGTTACTTCCCGCAACAGTACTTTGAGAAAACCGGGCATGACATTTTGGAAAGCTCACACTGCATTAGAGTATAAACAGAACACAAACAAACATAAATCAACTTACGAGTGAGTCAACACCGCGCCAGAGGTTCAGACAGAACACAAACATACATAAAAAAACATAACATAAACATAAACATAAAGTAACTTACGGGTGAGCGAACACCGCGCCAGAGGTTCAGACAGAACACAAACATACATAAAGAACATAAAGTAACTTACGGGTGAGCGAACACTGCGCCAGAGGTTCAGACAGAACACAA